ACGAACAAATTGTGTGCCTCCTGTCCATATAGCAGTTGCAGTGCCACTCAGAGCTTTAAATTTCAAAGTATTTGAGGGGCACTGCCACTGCGCCCCGTCACCCTGAAACATAAATTAAGTAGTCCCGTGTGCTTGTAATTACACCAGCACACTTACCCCTCAGAACCGGAAAACAGTTATGCTCAAATTACCGTTTGGTGGCAGAAATAGATATGATGGCAGTACGTCCCTGGAAGAACTGTTTCACAAGAAGCTTTACTACTATTATTATCAACTTACTTTGTATAACGTTGCGTATCTCACCACTTCTCGTGTCTGCGTAAGCAAATACTGCGAAGTTTGCAAAATTTTTTCATCAACTAAATGCTCCAAAGAAGTGTTTTGCAAATACTTGTCTATATGCATTCGCCAAAGTTTGATATTTTCAAATTGCAGAAAATGTTTTTTCAATCTTTCAATGCTATTTACGAGGCCTGAGAAAATTACGTTGATTTGCCAATCATAATGGGTTCGAGCGGCCGATTCAACGACACACATTTGGTACGCATCCAGATCTGAAGTGTGGTGGAAGTAAATATGTCTTATGTCGGGTTTGGTAAAATATCTGTGATTTTCTATAGGTGCTAGATCATCATCAATTTCGATGTAGTGCCGTGTTGTTTGAACTTTTAATTTCGCTATACAAGTATAGATATTTTTCAGAATAATCACGGTGGTTATCAAAATGATCAAGTTCTTTTTGTTTGTTTTCTTGTTCATTCTCATCTTCGTGAGAACAAAAATGTATGAAAATATCCTGTCACTTTCTGTATCGTGTTACCACGTGTTACTTTCTATAATTACGTTTTTTTTTCTTCAACTCAACTTCAAGTTTTGTATAGGCTCCGTCATTTCTTTCTTATTTATGTATAAGTATCATCGATATCCGTCGAAGAACTTTAATCCAGTGCTTAGACTATGGAAACTAAAGGACATGTTATGTTGACATATACCGGGTGGAAATTTGTAATGCCACCTGGAGGGAAAGTACTCTAAATACTGGAGATAGAAATTTTTACTTAAAGGAAATATTCCTTTATTTATTAAAAGAAATAAAACTACATTCATAGATTTTCGATTATTTGTAGCAACACGCAGGAATCGAACCCGCTTTAATCTGAAAAAAATGCACCCTGCACTTTTATTGCATCGATTGATAGGGTTAATTATATGAATAAAATCTCTCTCACAAAATTGGTTAATTAAATGAAAAAAAGCCCATGAAATCTTAACGTATTTTATTAAAACGAAAAAAATTATAATCTAACTAATTAGTTGCTCGAAATGAGCTCCATTTTCTTGAATACACAAATTTAATCTTTTAACGAATTCATTTTGAGTAACTTTTAATAACGTGTTGTGATGAATTGTATTACAAATCGTATTCTGAACCTCAGCCTTCAACTCGTTTACACTCGCATAGGATTTAAAGTAAATTTGATTTTTAACATATCCCCACAAACAAAAATCTAAAGGGGTGAGATCTAGTGATCTCGCAGGTCATCTGATTGTGCCGTTTAAATCAAACCTATAAATTAAATTAAAATTAAAATTGAAAAAATTAAAATAAGACAAAAATTAAAAATTAAATTTAAATTAAAACCCATTGAATTTATAACTCCAGATTTCATGGTTTGTAAGAGAGATTTCATCCTCATAATTATTGACCCTATCGATAGATTTAATAAACGTACAGCGTGTATTTTTTAAAAGATTTCAGCGGGTTCGATTCCCGCGTGTGGCTAGCAATTTTCGAAAATCTTTGAATGCAGTATTATTTCTTGTTAAAAATAAAGGAATGTTTCTTTTAAGTAAAAATTTATATCTCCAGTATTTAACGTACTTTCCTTCCAAGTGGCATTACAAATTTCCACCCTGTATAAATCAGACGTTATATGTATATGTTGCATTTCGATGTTCAAAACATAAACATTGTCTTTGTTTAACTATTGCGTGCCGTCTGAAGCCAAAAGAGATAGCATTACATAGGTCTGTGTCAAACACGGGAATCGAAAATACGTAACGTCATCTTAAATGCCAACCGTGTCCATTTCGCAGTACATGAGGTACATAATATTTAGAAAAATTGTCATAGGACATAGGCGGAATCGCCATTTTTTTTGTATAATTTTATAGTTATTTTTACTTGACATTGGCAAAATCATTGATTATTTCGATGGAGCCATGACATTTAAAAGAAGAAGAAGAAGAGGTACATAATACGGTTGCCAACGGGAATACATGACATGTTAAGAGGTAGCATGCCAAAAAAGTTTTGATGTTGGCTCCGCCCAAATTTGTGAAACAAATACATATATGATGCAAAGTGAAGATTAGGAAATTTTCCTCTGCTCCCTCTTAAATATTTTTTCATGAAAATAATTTCAATTTTTTAGTCAAGCGCGAGTTGTCCAAAAATGAATAAAATTATTGTTGATCGACTCATTTTCATGTGAGGATCATTTCATTCTACTGGACGAAAAAAATTGGATTAGCAGAAATTAGTCAAATTTTATACAATGTTTTTTCATGCAAACTGAATAAAATTGACTAATTTTTTAATGCGTATGCGAATCGAATCGGAATGAATAACATGGGAATCAGCTGGCGTTTAGCATCGCTTGTTCGGTACAGGACAAATTCTGAATTCAGGTTCGTGATTCGGCACATTCGCTGTTCGACAGCCTCGTGGATTTATAAACAGCCGTCACTAGCGATCACTTACCCTTTGCCACCACTGTACGCGTTATTTTTTTAAATAATTCCTACTCTTAGAATAATAACGCATAGAATGATAGTTTCATATCAAACGAACTGTCACAAGTGAGGCAAAAATTGAATTCATGTAGGCTAGTTTTAGTAGTAGGTTAATTTTCGGTTTTAGTAAATATTTATATAAAAATACAAGTTGAAACGCGTTACTTCCGTGTGGAATGTGATGTTAGTATCTATTTTATGTTTGTCTGACGTATTTTTACACTCATTTACCGCACATTTCGTCATTTTTAGCCAAAATTCTCGATCTGTTCGCGGTGCAAGTTGACCTTGAGCACTGAAGGCCCGCCCGCTCGTGTAGGCCCTTTGGGCGCGCTTCAATTTGCCTCACTTAGCGTGTGCGGACTAGGTTTCTATGCGTTATTATTCTAAGTTCCTACTCTACTACGTTTTCAGTAACATACGAAAGACCAAGGGCGCGTTCCCATATGTCGTGACGACAGATAGTCGTGCAGTTTAAAAGTGTCGTCGCTTGTATATTTAAATGAAGTTGTTCACACATAGAACAACACGATTAAATGTCATTTCCGATTTTTTTGACATTACGACAACAGACTGTCGTGACAATGAAAAGAGCTAGAACGACGTCGTCTCACGCTAAATAAAACGTCACGATGAAAATGTGACGACAGATAATCGATGCTTCAAACGATTCTATCGTGCAAACGACAAGGCGGCTGCCGTAAACCGATAAATTGTCGTCACGATCAGTGGGAACAGTTAGACGCGACAGTCATCCAACGATTAATAAAACGTTACGTCATAACGAACGCGCCCTTATCGTTAGCGTGTCACAATTTCTAAATATACGTTGATTGTAATGAAACATATGCATACATTTATAAATTATTTAGCCTTTATTTTTTCAAACGACGTAAAATAAAAAAACGTAATACTAATTAGCAGAACCGTTACTTTTTGAATCTCGCTGTCGCCAAATCTAAAATTGGTATCATTTCTGGTAAAAAACAAAGTAAATTAGTAAAAAAACAACACCAAAATTTAAACGTGAATATTCCCGAAAAACCTTCGAACATAAGCGTACCTACTCCGACGTAAAGTATTTGATAGACGTAAAATAAAATGGCTGAAAGGTGATGTCGTGAAAAGTTAAGTAGGTCACAATAAACGGGCGTATATAGGTATAACATTGTGCTACCAAGGTTATGTTAAAATGTGTCTTTTTCTATAAGACCATAGTTTTTTGTTATATGGATGTTAAATGGAATTTACATATTTAGTAACATATTTTTATATTTAGAATTTTTGAAATTATGAAGTTGAAATGGTTGAAAGAAACTAAATTATAATTACTAGTATGAGTTTTAAATATTAGCTTTAATGTAAAGTGGCATATTATTTTAACGTGCCCAATTTTTGTTTAATTGGCATTAAACATGGTATATCATTAAAATTGTACCACATATGTATTAAGATAATAGTTACTTTCTTAAAACGAACTTAACGTTGTGTGAAATACAGAGTGTATACTTGAGACGAATCTGTATTCTCTTCACTCTTGTTATAGCTAGGTATACAACCTAAAAGTAGACCCTAGAAGTATTAAGAAATCTGTGACTTTACGTAGAAATAAAAACAGCTAATGTTCAAAACTACACTTAATACGTCGTACATAGGTATTGGCTCCGTATAGACTCTGTCTTTAACATAACCCCATAAAAAATAATCCAGCAGTGGTAAATCACATGATCGAGTCCAATGGAATCGATTGCAGCCTTAAAATTCAAAACTCGTCAAGTGATCAACGAAATAGCTTCACCATTTTGTCAAAAAGTGATTAAAAACTTTGATGAAAGAAGCGATATCTGTACTTAACTATGGTCGTGGTGGATATTTGTCAGATACCATTTTCCATTCATAATTGCCAAACTTTACTTTTTTAATGCAATAAAAATTTGAATCATTGTCATCTAAATTTATTGCTTTATTTTGATTTACAAAACAAAGTTCTTGTTGAAAAACCTTTTACACTCTACGTGTTGTTTTTGTATTATGTACCTAGATGGCGCTATTATACAAAAGTTCGAATAATATTTTATAGCTCCTTAAGTTGACAGAATATTCAAAATTTCAAATAGGAAGTTGAGAGATGTCAGCAGTCACAATCCTGTTTTCAGTCTCACACATCTGATCGCTCTACATGCCCAAGTGACTAATGATGTACCTGCTTGGGACCAAAACCTGCGGAAAATCTTACAAATGTTCAATAGTAAGGATACAAAAAATCTTCTTTGAATATTTGATACGTATAAGGACAATATAATCTAGCTAAAATATTGTAAATTGCAGTCTTCGTAGCCAGTGAGAGCTCACGAAAGTTAGTGTCATCGCCTAAGTGGTATCCGTATGAGAAATTGTTCAGAATATAACTAGGCAAAGAAAATTTGGCACCAAGTCTCCATGTGATTGTGCAAAAGTAATTGGGTGCAAATACATAAAAACCTACAACAAAAATATACTATTTATTGTTATTTATTATAAGAAAATAAAACTTGCTATCTACTTTTTAGCGAGCGTGTTTAAAACGTACCTATATAACGAGTAATTCAGTTCTTACTTACCATTACATGAATAAACTGAACCCAGAGTGTTATCGAAAAGTTTACATCGCTCAGTTAATACTCTAGTCATTGTTCCTGTGCCGTTATTTAGATTTACAGTTGTATTAAAAGTATTGGCTACATCTCTGCAAATTATAAACAATGATTTGAAAATTCATATATCGAAATAAACAAAGAGCCAATAAAATGTTTCATATCTCGAACTCTAATCTACGGAAAAATTGTGAGTTACATAATATTCATCAAAATAGTGTGCATTACTTTCATTTGTTGTCCGGAATATGTTGGATAAAATCATTTATTCCGTAACAATCACAACACAATACACACATATACCTGCATACTATATAACTACAATACCAACGTACATAACACTTTACATCTATAATATAAATTTAAAACAAACGGAAAGCACAACATGCCTCATTATAGGCAAAAGATAACACGAATAAATAAAGAGCATAAACATGACAGAGTGTGCGCTGTGCTGTTACGGAATCCACCATCCACTCAGCTTTTTGTCGTCTCACTGAAAGTGCTACGACACTTCTAACCTCATAGCTGCGTCAGCGACATGTCTCCCAACTTTATCATTCGAGAATCTCAGAATTCCATCTGATACAGAAGGGTAAATTTTCCTCGTTGCAAAATTCATAGGCAGATCATTCAAAGATTTCACTATTAACATGTTTAGGTCTAGGTACACGCCATCCCACTGAGAAATAAAGAAAAATGAACATTATTTCACGCAATTATAACTGAAAAATTATAGTTCTTCGACTATTATTGACTGCGACTTTTCGTGATGTATATATATCCTTACCGATTGCCGACCGTCTCCAGCTACTTGGAATGGACTAGTCGTCCAATTTCAACTTCGGGAGATACATAGATACGTACGATCGTCATTGCAGCCTTTCTAAGGTGAGGCGTTGCTCACAACGGGACAAACCCGTATCTTTCTACATAAATTTTGCTTATAGTCACCCTCATAACTTATTGGTTATACGCGAAGTACACTATAACCTGTGCAAGCACAGGGACCTTGTTTAGTCCTTACTCCAGATAAGCTCGTGGACAGAGTTGTCACGGACTTCATCTGATCCTCAAAATACTAGTTAGTGTTTCGAGTAAGAGGCCCCGAGTGCACGTAAAGCACCCTTCCTACTTTCCAGTTAGGTGGGTACATTCCTTTTATTCCTTTGCGGCTGGATCGGCCGGAGGATATCTAGTTTATCCGGACCAGTACCGGAGATGTCAGTCGAAGCGTCTTGCGGCAGCGTCCAGACACTGCGACTAACTTAAAGGGCTATACATGTGCCCGCACGTCCTTTCGCATTAGGCCCTCGTCCAAACCGCTACTAAGACGTGCTAGCAGACACCCCGGCCACACATTACCGGGGCCAACGAACATGTCCATCTCTACAGCTATCACAAGTCGCGGGACAGTTACATCAGCTACACCAAGCACAAGTCCGGTCGTGTATGGAGTACTGCTGCCACCTATTGGATGGTTCTGCTAAGCACGAACTGATCACCTTGGATTTAGTTAAAAGCATGTCAAGAGGCTAATAGGTCATTGGGATTTAGTACAAGTAGAAGAAGAAGCTGCAGAACCTTGAACACCGCCATAATTTACCTGCTCATTGGTACAGGTTAGATAGATGGAATTGCACGATGTAAATCCGCCATCGCATTTACATCACCGGGGGACTTGACATACGCTGGGGTTCCCCCTTATGTTGTGTGTTCGCACACACACGTATGTTGAAGTGTTTCAGTTTCACAGTTATATGGCGGACAGCTGTGGAGTGGAATTCCCAACCTGCAGACTTATTCCCCGAACGTTACAACTCAGTCCTTTTGAAGGTGAGAGTAAATGCTTTGCTTTATCATCACCATCAGGTGATATGGAGGTTAATTGCGCACTTACTTTTTATAAAAAAAAATAATTTAATATATTTTCACTAAGCAAGTACTTTCCTATTTGAGACCCGGTATCAGATTTGTTAGTTGACGGGACGAACTAATCGTGCTCCCTGTGTTAAGCGACACTCCTGTCCATACCAGTTGCAGTGCCACTCAGAGCTTTAAATCTCAAAGATTTTGAGGGGCACTGCCACTGCGCCCGTCACCCTGAGACATGAGTTTAGTAGTCCCGTGTACCTGTAATTACACCAGCACACTTACCCCTCAGGACCAGAATGCAGTAATGCTCACATTATCGCTTGGTGGCAGAAATAGATTATGATAGCAGTACTTCCCTGGAGAACTCTTTTACAAGGAGCTCCATTGCTACAAATTATTATCATTAACTTACTTTGTATAACGTTACGTATCTCACCACTTCTCGTGTCTGCGTAAACAAATACTGCGAAGTTTGCAAAATTCTTTCATCAACTAAATGCTCCAAAGAAGTGTTGTGCAAATACTTGTCTATACGCATTCGCCAAAATTTAACATTTCCAAATCGCAGGAAATGTTTTTTCAATCTTTCAATGCTATTTACGAGGCCTGAGAAAATTACGTTGATTTGCCAATCATAATGCGTTCGAGCGGCCGATTCAACGACACACATTTGGTACGCATCCAAATCTGAGGTGTGGTGGAAGTAAATATGTCTCATGTCGCGTGTGGTAAAATATCTGTGATTTTCTATAGGTGCCAGACCATCATCAATTTCAATGTACTGCCATGCTGTTTGAACGTTTAATTTCGCTATACGAGTATAGATAATTTTCAGAATAATTATGGTGGTTATCAAGAAGATCAAGTTCGTTTTATTTATTTTCTTGTTCATTCTCATCTGCCTTAGAATTTCAAGGAATTTTCAAAATACCATTAAAATATCTTGTCACTTTCTGTACCGTGTTTCTTTATATAATTATGTTGAAGTATCACCCAATGTCATTAAGGTTATAATATTGATTACAATCAATATTACAAAAAGATAGGATTCGTCTCCACTAAAAATGCAATTAAATGTACTATTAAATGTACAAATACCACAAAAGTATTTCATTTTTATTTGCACATCGCCATTGATAAAATGTTAATTCAAATAATAAAAAATAGTACCTACTATATATTTAATAATCATAAGATAGGGCTCGCATTTCACTTTTTTTGAGATTATTGTCTGACTTTAGTACATACATTAATTAAAATGCTACTACAACTTTATGATTATTGTATACAAAGGTAAAAGAACCATTTGATTTTATATTATTTATAATGCGTACGTTTTGAAATAAACGAGCTTTTCCACCGTCTAAGCTTTTGTCACTGTCATATTTTATTGAAAGAAGTTTTAATGATATTGTCAAATGATTAACAGATAACCATAGATTTAGTATCAGATAACCGAAAAAGTTTCCTTGGCCTTGGCAAAATGCTACAGACTCCATAAATAATTGAGATTTGACCTCAATCAAACGCGACGATGGAGCTTAATTGAAACGGAGTTTTTTATTCAAAGGTTTGCGTGCCAGACCCTGTCGAAGGCACAGAAATGTCTTATCAAGCGTTTCGTATTGCTCTTCGATAGCCAAATGGGTGGCATAGGTACACAACAAAATCCTCCATTAACCGATCTCGTCAAAATTTTGCATTAATGATTGTCTTCAAGCCAAGGTACGTCAGTACACATTCCATAATCTGCAGTTGCTGAAATAGATCTATAGGTGGCGGGGACGACTCGGCTTCCTTGTTTTGGCCACCAGTTTCAAGTGAGAGTGAGCAATTATGCAGGAGTATTGCTGGTATTCCGTCCGACCTGGTGGCTTTATTCACGTCTAGATTCCATTGAGTTCCAAATAGTTACCTTTCCTTGGCGTATGCGTATGTGAACTGGTGCCATAGTGCAGCCAGTCTGGGGTATAGGAAAGCAAGTTTCCTTTTTTGGTTTTCCTCCTATCCGTTTAATTTTACTTTGAGGTTGGCACAAAGTATTCTAGTGTGATTTAGTTTTTAGAAAAATGTCACACTGAGCTTAAAAAAAAATTACCGGCCATAATCGGCTACCTTTTTCCGTCGCATTATAACTGACAAGTGCACCTATGTACACACGCCAGCACATCAAACTACATATTGACGTATCTTGTTCCGTTGCACTAGGTGCGATTTTCGAACAAAAATGTGTAGTCTGATGTGCCGTTGTCCATACAATAATTTTACACAGTGACAGAGACGACGATCTAGAAAAAAATGAAACCTTTATTTTTTCCTCACATCCTGAAGCTGAAAACAACCGTTCGTCTTTTTCAAAACCTCAAAGATCAAGTCAAAGATCATTTCCATAGGTAAAATAAATTTACACTTGAAAACGTCACATTTACATTACATTACATTAAGCTACTGCTCGTTCACTACGTCGACTTCCTGGAGAAGAACGAGCAAGAAACTCTAGGGATTGCTCTTTTCAAATAAACTTAAATGCTATGGAACACACTTTGAATCAAATTTGTGTGGATTCTGGAGCCGTATAGTCTTTCCATACATTTTTATCTAACACGTAGTCTTCAATTTTGTAATCTTTTCGATTAAAATATTTTAAATGAAGTTTTTAAACTTAGGAAATCATAATTTTAATATATGCTCCGGAATCTTATTGTAAAAACGTATTCAGTTCCCCATAAAAGAGTTGTTTACCTTGGTTAAACGAAATCGTGGTACCATGAGTTTTGACTTAGCTCTAAGGTTAACATTACGGATATCTTCTTTCTTATTGAACTTGTCTAATTTATATAGAATAGCGTTTTCGTCATATATTACAGTACAGGGTAGTATCCTAATATATCTTTCCAATTTGTGGTAGTACCCCGTTGTGGCGCGCTCTCCTATCGCCGTTGTTGATGTTCACATTCTCACGATTCTTAGAATGTAAAATAAAAAACGTTTTAACATTGTATAACTTTATTTTGTAATCATTCAATAACTTATATTTATTAGGTTATTAATTACATTTCAATAGCAGCAAGTCAGATAAAGATGACATTCAACTTTAGTTATTAAAATTTAGTTAACCATTGTGCAGCTGAGTATACAATAATTATTTAATACTATAATTATTATATATAACATGTACACTCGCCGCCAGAAATAGTTTACGACATTAAAAAAGTCAAAGTGGTAATGTTATGGCCATACACTTAAATACTTACATAAAATATTATTTTTCACAATATTACTTCATGCAAAGTGACGTTATACTATCAAGGTGAAAAATCAATGAATACTTTTAAGTAATCTCCATAAATGTAAAGATTATAAACTCATAACCACTACTCGAGGCGAGTGTACAAGACAAACAAAAAAATAACACCTTCCAAGTTCAGTCAACAGATACAGTTAAATTAAAATGGAAACTTAAAAGTCTCTATAATGCCCCCTATTAAATATTTATTTTGAAAATTAAAAATACACTTTGTACCTATTGTATCACTCCTATGTTGGTTGGAATAGAGTTAAAATTAGTTGCCGTAGAATATGCAACTTTTTTTTTTCTGTTAAAGACATGACAGATATTTTTTCATATTTCACAGCCAATAGTGTTCCATTGTAAATGTCGTAAGTAACTTTAGGTGTTTTTTTAGTGTAACATATAAGTACGTATGTACATAAGCTGCAACTCGTCTCAAAGAGCGTTTACACGCGGCAACTGTTAGCAGCGAGTCTGCAGCGATTCAGACGCCAATATCTTTACACACATGCGGGTCTTAAGAGTCTATATAACCTCACATGGCTTTGGTTAATTCCGCACAACAGTGAGTGTTGAATAAATCACTTTGGAATAAATATAATAATAACGCACACACTCAACATGGCCCCGCACTAGAGAAACCCTGTGTCGCGGGTGCCATGGATACACATATAGACAACTACAAATTACACCCAAACTCACGAGAGAAATAAATATATAAATAAATGTAGGCCATACAACATTTCTCCCGGTCCGGGAATCGAGTCTGGGATCTCTGCGTAACCATTCGCCCACCGAGGCAGTAATATAAAAATACATAGTAAAATTGAGCTTATTATACACTGATTACTAAATGGCGTGAAAACACGATTCCTAATAATTTTCGCGATAGAAAAAAATTGTATTTAAATTTTAAATTTAAGAAATTTTATATTCAATAGATACTTTACATATACCAAAAATTTTTAGATAGAACATGTATACTATACGATATACATTTTTGAAATAGCTTTAATTTAATTCGTGAAAAAATAAATTCTAAAGTAAAACCAGTGTCTCTGCCGCCCGGCCCAAGCAAAACGAGCCGTATTAGTACGGGAAAAAATTACTGTTAAGCAGCAATACAATCGCAATCGTTTCTAATGATTGAATATAAGCGCCTGCATCGATGAAGCCGCCTACAAATCGTAAGTGTTGTGATGCTATTGCATTACAACACGCGCGTTTGTATCGCGGCTAAACGCCGCCGTGAATAACCGCTCAGAGAAGTTCTATTAATGAGTTGAAGAGAATGGTCCTTTCTGAAAAATGAGTAAGATTGCACGTCTTCCTGAAGTTATAACAAAAATATGAGTAATTGCAATTGGACATAGTTAAACTAGAACCAACCCACAAAATGGTACTTTCGAGATAATTAGATTTTTTTTAAAACAGTGTGAAGAAATAAATAGGTAAGTTATTTGAGACAAACGTGAGTTATGTGTAGCATTGAGAATAATATAGGGAAACTATTATATTATCTAACAATATATAGAAAACATTATGTATCTTTTTATTTAATTAACGAGAACCATGTTCTAGTTTTCGTAATGAAAACGCTACGCTAGATCTACAGTACTTCAGTACGTGTGACATGCATCCATTTAGCATATTTAAAAAAATACATTATATGAAGTCAAGCAGCATGGTTCTTTTTAGCTATTAAAAAGTCACTTATTTAGGGTTCGTACCCTGAAGGACTTTTATTTTCTCCGTTTTGATTTGGTATATTGTCAGGATCTTTTGTGAGCGGGTAAAGGATACGTCTGGTGTTCTACCTGAATACGTAACTCAATTTCACTCGAGGTCTGGGTTGGTTCTTGTTTGCATAACCATATTAATGAGGCGGGATATATTAATTATTGCTTGTTAACCGTGCTTAGACAGCCCTACTTTCGATCCATGATGGACATTCTACAAACACTACCTAAATCCAGTTGCAATTCGGCCCGCGAGTATTTCTTATCTGCTCGACCACACGTAACGAATATAAAAATTAACTATTTAAACACAAGAAGTGTTTTGAATTTATTGATACCACTTTTAAGTATATCATTTGTTTCACTGTCCCATTGCTGCATTGCCGTTGTAATCACTCGAAAACTGTGACATTTTATCGAGTTCTTAGGTTTTCGCGATTACATGATGTATGTATGTCGTGACCATGGAATCTGTAAAGGGCCCGAAACTTTGGTTTGTTTGAAAAAGAAATATATGTGTAAATATTTTAATTTCTAAATATAATCAATTACATTTTAATTAATACGACTCTTTATTGCATCTCTAAGACTCTGCGATGATCCGTCATTGTTTTCCAAGTTGTGAATGGATTTGTGCAGTTATTTTCCGTATTTGTTGCTGCGGCAGGTGGCATGCTAATTTATATACTAGGCAGACTTTTGAATATATATGAATATAATAAAATAATATAATAAAAGAACCCTTCTCGTTTAAATACGCCTTTACGAAAGTTACTTTTCCAAAGGCGTATTTAAGTGCACCTCTGAGAAATCTATGAAACTAACTTTCATTCACAGGTGGGGCTACGGCAATGTCGTTAAAACCAAAGATCTGAAACGGGCATATAGATTAATTTTGTATCCGTATCTCAGTTGGGAGAGCGATAGCCTCGGTCCATATAGTACATGCCACCACACCCGAGAAGCAGCTGTTGTTTTACTGAACTATGACTGCTTAAAGAAATCATGTTGACCACAAGTTACCTAATTATAGCCCTATTTTACAAGTCAGTTCTCGTCCGCGGCTGGTGCAATTATCATTTAGCTCAGTTCGCTGGCCATGGTGCAGTCACACTTTTGACAGATCGCGGTCACTTTGTAAGACATACACACGAGATAACATTCCCGAGATGAGTTGATCTATCTTCGGACACAGAATTGCAAGTCAGATTGATTTTCTTTGATATCTTTAAAAAACTATTTCGTGTGTGTCCCTTTTATTACAATTCTTCATATTATTTATTGTAAGTATTTTCATTCACAATACAGGGTGATAAAAAACCACTGACCATTTTAAAGGAGCATACTGCATAATGGAAATAAAAAATACATGTTCGGTTTTTTTCAAATACTTGACGAATAAATAAGTTATGCCGTCTCAACGAAAAATTATGAACAATATTGACATCCGATGTGACGTGCTGGCGCCTAGGCGTCTAGACAACTCGGCGCCGATCGCTCAATTTTATTTACTATTTTGAGGTAACCACGCGTTAGAAATTATTGGAAAATATTTACTTCAAAAAACTGGGGATTTTTTCTGTTTTATTTCACTAATGTGACCAGTAGTTTTTTGTCACCCTGCATTGTACGTTAAGTAGATAAAGGTACTATTTGACGTTTTAGCACACCACTGATATAATGATAACATGATATATCGTTAGAACTGTCCGTAAATATTTTACACCTCATGTGCATCGTAACATTAACTCGCCCCCGCGCCCCTGATACGTCACAGGTGAAATCAAAATGACTCGGCCTGTCTTATAGCCATATACAAAAACAGATCAATCCCTGGTGTTAAGTGTCTTAAACCGGAGTGGTGAGCTTTTGTTATTAAAATTTAATTATAATAATTAGCGCTTTTTATACTCTGATAATTATCTAATTTTATAAAAAAAAAGAAATACAATTTAAGAATACATCTGTCATACATTTTATATTAATAAAGTACATTTAAATTATCTACTTGAACACTCCTCTTGCAAATCATCTTAAGTTGCTAAATAAATCTCTTGTCTGCGACAGCTGAACTTGGCACTTTCTATTATTTGCTTGTGATAATTTTAGAACGCTAATTTGTGTTTAAGACATAGAACTAGTTTTCGCCATTTTTCAATATGGTAGCCATACAAGCGTTTTGGGCTGCAGATAAAAATTTGCCCTAATGCCACTGAAAAGCGTCACGTGGGGTGTTGGATGGTATATTGCGGTCAAAATTTATTTTTCGCCATTTTCCAATATGGCCGCCATACAGTCTCAAAGTAATAATGGTAAGTATCTATATAGGCAAAGTTTTACTAACACGACTAAATTATTTTATCCCTATTCACTGCTGATTTAAACTGGAACATCCTATTTTTAATATTATTAATCTTATTGTTAACAAAATAAGAACCATTACATACATAAGTAAACATTTATGCGATTGATGCATTATTTATGTAATACTAATAAATTGTTTCATTTTCACGTTAATTTCAAAGTTTCACTTCTTAAGTAACAGAAATTAGTGAACCAACAAAAGATAACGACTTTTTCAATTATAAACAATAAACAACCTTTTATCATTATCCCAGTAAAACGTGAGCACCAGATTTACTGGCCAATATGTTGGCCAACGCGATAGCGGTATAAATAACAAAGTAATGCAGATATGGTTAATAACAAGAGAGTAATGCATACAGCAGATCATACCTCCCTCTGAAATTCAAGAATAATTAAAATAAAAGGAAAAAATCAAAACAACTGTATTTTTACTCACAATTATAAAGCTTTTTAAAGTCTTTTAATATTATGATTTACATTCAGGATTATTTTTTTTTCGATTACAAGGGAAATTATTGTAATTAAAATCAGTGGTAGGGAGGTGCTCTGCCCTTTCTAAGCAAAAAGATTATAGTAATAATTACGAAATTATATTTAATTTAACACAAAAGTAATGCTTGTTTATGACGTCACAAAGGTAATGGTCATAATTGTATGACCATTACCTTCGTAGATTGCTACGTACTTGGTGATCATCTTAGTGACCCAACGGTTTGTTGTGAATTTTGACAGAGAGATTTTGTTAAAAACATTCAAATGTGAAAACAACGCCTCCAGAAAGATGTACGAGTAACTACAATTTAGTCGGTCAAAAAAAAGTAATTTTAGTAATTTCTATCTAATACATATAATATTCTGTCCGTTTTGAAGACAGAGTTCTTCTTCTTATTTATTAGTGGCCTGTCATTGAAGACAGTATATGACAGTAGTACGACATTTGTAGGTTTGACAGTTTTAATAAAATTTTTAATAGTTATGTAGTTGTTGTCGATAGTTTTATCGATAGATTGTGAAAAAAGATAAAATTTTGCCAAAAATTACGGAATTATGAATGTTACGACGTTCTAATTATTACTAATTGCGTTATTGCCTTCTTTATTCTTATTTTGCCAGTAGGCCTACTAGTATCGAGTTCAATTTTTACACAAGAATTTGATTATCTATGTTGAATTAAAATAGAAAACTTTAAAATAAGTCTTCTCTTTGTATTTTTCAACATAGTTCTAAATACAGCGTATGTGTGTATGAATTTACAAAAATTGACAATTCAAATGAACTTCTGCTCAGTAATTGAATGAAAAATGGTCGAGTATGATTCAAATGAAACAAGTTCGGCTATTTATTCGGTAGTCGATAGAATATTTATCGACTGCGATCACTAGCTGCTCGCAAGCAGGCAACGCTTCGGCGCAATGAATTGTCATTTTACTCCGTCTCCAAAAAGAAAGACTACAGATTTGTGCAAATGCTACTTTGGATATGAAATTTTTTGCGTATATTCGTTTTTTTTACCAAATCAACAATTCTTCGGGCTCTTTATGTGCCACGGCTGACTTACGCTACCGCATTAATGTGCTACCTACATACAAAAAATATAGAACGAAATACAATGCAATAGTTCTGGCATTTCAGAGGGCGCTATTATTCACTCTATGTGTAGGTATTATTACGTTGAAGCTTAGGTAAATATGCTTTGCTTATTTCTATCTAGTTATAACATTATGTAAAGCAACCATTGCTGCACTAGATTTACACAGGTTGATTTGTAAAATACGAACAACTTCGCAGGACCATGATGCGTGCCATAACTTTTAATAATTCAGCCGATTTGCTGACTTGCTGATTTGCTGATTGACAACTCTGATAACTCTGTGCGGTAGCATAAGAAAGCACCTACTACCATATTTTTTTGTATGTATGATGAAACATAAACTTAAAAGTTTATTCAAGGCAAATTTATAAAGTTTTGTAAAATTTCACGGAACAAAAGTTGTATTTTACAGATAACCCTGTATAATGTTGTCACTAATTAATATAACCACTCTTTTCTGCCAGCCAAAATGTTCACAAGCTTATCGCTTTATAGAGACAAAGCTTATTGCTACGAATCGTCAATGCATCGTAGTAAGTGATGTCATTTTCTTTGGTATTAGTCGACAAGTCTTTTTTCAATCTTGTTTCGGCTCTCTGATTGGCTATTCATTATTTCACTTAATTTTTAACCTAGTTATGATGAAATAGGGTTGATTATTATTTATAACTTGCAATTACAATATTTTATCACAATTCACGCTTCCACTGGACCGTCTATTCTGGATTAATTTAACATCTATTTCTATTTAACTAATTTATTGTAATAAAAAAGCTACATTACAGCGGTTTTTACATTACGTTTTTATTATAATTTATATTGACAATCAGTGACAATTATGTCACTTTAGGGTCATACCTCACTATGCCATTCGTGAGCACGTTGCCTTTTTTATGGTGTCAATCATAAAACGTTGCTTAAGTCCACTGTCTTTATTAAGAAATATCAATTTCGTGTAGATCAATGTTTATTCATTTGAGAGTTGCCAAATTTCTGCCAGTTACAAAATTTTGCTTAAGGTTTTTATCACGTGTAATCAGTCAAGTGTTCGTCATTTGAAAAGTCGATAAAGATTAAAAATTACACTGGTTTGTTAGTTATTACTATTCCAGTATTTGCTTTTTTGCGATGTATCAAAATGAATATTGTATAAGTAATCATAAGGAATATCTGCATAGAAATTATGGAAAGTTTGTATGTTGCAAGGCAGTTTACAGTGGTGCATAATGTAATTTTGTAATGCCTTTACAACCTACGTATCACAAAGAAATAAATGTATATGATGATTAGTCTATTAATGACGAGAGGTGTACCTCATGTCAAACGATAGGCACTTAATGTGAGACTTAGGTAATTATTATGTATACTGTACTACCATATGTGTGCTGCACGTTAGTCTTGATAAGTGAGGTTTGACCCTCAATCATATTTATGTAACGAGGTTATATTTAATTTGGATCGAATTGACAACACCTGGCAAGTTTAAAACGAGTGTAGATATCATTATCGCGTACGGGAAGGGAATAGACCCTGCTGATTATGCGAAAAATAATTTTTCTCGGTTAAACGATAAAGTTAAGAAAGATGCGGAGTACCGGACATTATTTAAAATTACCTTATAAGAAATTTACTAGAGGTAGGAATCGAATACACTTCGTGTTTTAGCAGCTCGAGTAGGTTAGGTGCTGTGGACCTCGGTCGGATCTGAAAAGAGGGAGCGGTTTAGAGCGACGAAGCAGGAGTCGCCGGCGGGGCGGAGGGGGACTCACCCGGCGCGGCCGCGGCGGCGGGGGCGGGGGCGGGGGCGGGGGCGGGGGCGGCGTGCGCGGCGGCGGGCGCGTGCTCCGGCTCCTTCTTCTCCTTGACGAGCCTGCGGAGGACGAGGCGGTGAGCTTGGGCGGGCGGCGCGGGGGCGGGCGGGGCGGGGCTCACCGGTAGAGGTCGCTGGTGGGCTGCAGCGTGCCGTGCGCCAGGTGCAGGCGGCGGCCGGGCGGCGGCGGCAGCTGCTGCGGCGCCCACCAGCGGACCACCTGCCCCACCACGGGCACGCGCCGCAGCAGCCCCTCGGCCCACAGCCGCTCCAGGTTCTCGCGCTCGATGTCGGCCTGCGCCGCCTCGATGCCTGCAACCGACGGCCACTTGGAACCGCGAATCTCCACCCCGCGCGTCACACGCTGCGACGACCGACTCTCTCACCGAAAGCGGTGCGAACAATAAACAAAGAGCTACGAATATTATATGTAATGTTCCATATTACAGCGATTACAATTCCTAGCAGTCCAGCTCCTTGTGAAGGGTGAGGGTGCTGATGAAATAACAGGCACACGGGATTAGTCAGGGTGACGGGAGCAGTGGCAATGCCCGTAAGATCTTTGCGATTTAAAGCTCTCCGTGGCACTGCAACTGTTATAGATAGACAAGTCGCTTACCACCAGACGCACTACTTGTTCGTCCCCTCCCTCGATACTGGATTGGTGTGATTGGCTAACATATAAATTATATTAATAATCATACCTGTCACTAACAGAAAAAGAAAACAGCTTACCGAATCTTGCACGTCCACAACCCCTGAAAGATGTGTACAGTCCCAACGAACAACAGCCTAAAGCGTTGTCCTTAGAGGGGATCCGTGTTCAGGAGTCAGATATAATGGGTTTCTAGTTATAACCGAGTGTAACCATGAATATATATTAAGTGTTTGGCCTCGAGCCTTAAATTAATTATTAGTAACAATACCCCATGACGCACCTTTCTTGAGGACTTCAGTCATGTTCGAAAGCGCCCGCGAGCTCTCCTCCACTTCCTTGCCGGCCGAGATGACTAAGTCCAGCAACTCGTCGACGTCCGTGTCTGCTGTCACCATGCCGAACCTGGTGAAGTCATCATTCACTAATGTCATACCAACATTCTTAAAGTGATAATGGTATTGCGTAAACCGTGGCTGACGACCACAAATTTAAGCAACAAATACTATCAGAACCGCTGTCGCCAAAACACACTACCATATTGTTAAACACTATGAAATCTTGATAACAAATTCTGGACAGTTAATATAATTTTTAAACTACATAGACATATCGTCGAAAGTTCAATATTTACTATCGCAAGTTACGACTTTTTGATTTTATATTGGTTTCATTAAATGTGCTGCCATCTAGCGGTAATAGCTGCAAGACAAGGAACGATTAACATCCATTAACGTTTTCCAAAAAAAGTCGACTATATTGCAAAAGCCATAAGGTTTACATTCGTTTCTTATAACAAAAATCTATTACAATAAACAGAAAATTTATTAAAATTAAATAAAGACCTAACGATGACACGAAATACCACCATGCATAATATTGTAGGTGCGACCATGGTTTTTCCACGATTTTCGAAGTTTTGCGCAAGTGACATGACCACAACATGCTAAGCAAAAGTGGCGAACTGAGCTCAAGTTTGCGGAACTCCGCGCACTGTTGGCACACGTGCAACACAAACTAAGCACTTCTGCTGTACTTATTCTTCTGTACTTAAGGCACTGGACTTAATTTAATATTTTACTGTACAATAACTGACGACGAACAGCCACGTCAACGCTCCAACGGCTGCGACTACGCGCATCAAACCGATTACGCATTGATGGCTTCCTTACCAGTAGCAGTAATGGGTTTTTTGGAATTCGACCTACCTGACACATCCGGTATTCCTACAAATAACGGGTTAAGCGAGCAGATGTCTCACCTGACGCACGCCATGCCGTCTTCTCCGTCCCCGCAGGAGAAGGCCCCGTCCGTGGCCCGCAGCTGCTCAACCAGCTGCCTGTTCAAGGAGTTGAGCTCCTCCGCGGAGGCGTCCTCCCAGCCGTCGGGCACGTACCGTACGCCGCCCAACCCTGAAAACAGTGTTCCGAGCTTATATAAATATAACAGAAATATTAGTTTAACAGATGTTGAGCAAAGGTGGACTTATCTCTAAAAGAGATTTCTTCCAGCCGAGGGCAGTGGAAGCTAAGGTTATAAGAGGGCTGTTGCGTGCAAAAGGGAATGAGAAAGAAATATAATAAAGTACATATACACATAAATATATACACATAGGTACATAAATAAATAAGTAAAAAAAACAAATAGATGATTATCAAGAGGGTTCAGCAAGAAAGTGTACTGTCAACCTTTTCTTGAAAAAATAAAAACGCACACACCCAACATAGCCCCGCACTAGGGAAATCCTGTTTCTCAGGTGCACACACATAGACAACCACAAATTCACGAGAGAAATAAATGTAGGCCATAGAAATATTTCTCCCGGCCCGAGAATCGAACCTGAGACCTCTGGGTGGCAGTTCAGCCTGGTAACTGTTCTGCCACAGAGGCAGTTAAAAAGAAGAAGCTCATTATATCTTTTTGTAGCTATATCATCATCAGCACGTTGTACGTTCCGTTACTGGGTACGGGTCTCCTTCAAGAAACCGGTTTAAGCCAAGGCAAGTCCTTGGGGATTTGAACTTTCTTCGATGCGCAGGTTGCGTTACGACATTTTTCTTTATCACACGCAACTTCGAAATTAAAGTCAGGAACACGTCACTGCAGAGATTCGAACAGCTGACCTCTCAATTAAGAAGCAACCATCCTCTACCTCACGTATTATAGAATAGGTTTAAGATACTATATCATAATGACCTTCGACGAACTTTAAATAGTAAGCGTGATAGACTGTGGTTTAACTATTTCTTTAAAGGAGACCTGTGCCCGGCAGTGGGATGTATAACGGCTAAAAATGTTGATGATTAAAATCCTTTTTGGTTTCTTTAAGTAATCCAAGTGTAATTTTCGTAATTTGTTGTTACGTATGAAATAAAAATTTTCTTTCTTACCAGCCCAACCAGGCACGTGCACAAGTCTGAGCACGCGATGGTCTTGCACCCTCTTCTGGAAGGGCTCTCTCAGGGCCACAGTGGCCCTCAGCACATGCAGTTGGGCCTCCAGCACGCAGGCCCAGTTTTCATTCTGGGTCTCGTCCAGGAGCGACCCTTCGAGTGGGCAGTACCGGAGTACCACTCCGTAAGCTTCTGTTTCACATATTTCTATGCTTATCTGTAACGTAATAAGGATATAGTACGTTATTGCAGCGGCCAGGAAGTAAGGGATTGCTGGACGAGGATGAGTTACAAGGACGACTGCGAGTGAGGCCAAGTATTAATACGAGTCAAGCAATCCCAGGAAACAATGTGAGGAAATAATAGAAGACTAAAGAGACGATGTATAATAGAAAAAGTAAAAAAAAATGTTAATTAAAAGTAATATTTGACATAGTTTTTCCAGACACAATAGTCGTCTGCTGTGCTTTTGGTGACGTGGTTGAATGTGTATCTGTTATTGTATTTTCGTTATCGCTCTGCTCACAGGAACTTACTTTCGCGGCAAACATAGAAAAAAGACCAAATAAAAACAAAATAAGAAAAGAATACCAAAGCATTTTATTTAATTTTACCGCCTTTTTTAAAAAAAAGTGGTACAAGTAGGTATTTTTAATTTTCGCAATTATAAACACTTGGCAGTTGGCTGTATGATTTTTTCTTTTGCCTATTTATATGTTAATTATTGGTAGGTCGATTTAAAAGTTTAGATAAGTGGACAGTAATAGATTTTCATCAGAAGAAGTTCCACGGTCATTAAATGACTTCCAGTGTTCGTTTTTTCAAAATAAGGCAAATATTTTCGAGCATGTTTGAGAAAATATATTTTTAGGGATGTTATGTATGTAAAAAAAATCGCGGCTTCGATTCCAGGTAAAACCAAGTTAGGAACAAATTATCCAAAATTGCTTCTGGTCTCAGTATTCTGGATAGAGCTCCGGAGTATATTTTTCTTTGCTGTGGTATTCAATGTACATACAAAAATCTGAATGAGACCAGGTAACAGGTGTGCTTGTCAGGTCAATTAAGATAAGAAATAATTAAAACCATTTTTCATCCCACTTGCTCGTAAATGGTATGATTGCATTAACTTGACTATAGTGCCCCTAATAAAACCCACGGGCCTTTTTTCTTTCTTTTTATTACAGCGACTGTCGGTAAGGAGATTTTTTAATTTGTAGGACGACATACTTCCTTACATAGGTCAGATTCAAGTTTCAGCAAGGAGGTTACTTAAGTTCAAAATTAAAACATTCGCTTAAAATGTTATCTACACTGAAATTTAATTGCAATTGGGCCACATACTACTTAAGTACTTACTATTAAGTATTTTTTTTAATTGATTTTAATATTTTCTGTAGAAAAATTTTCCATTTTTTTTTACACTCCATCATGGCCGTATGCGTGTTTGTTTTTTAAAACATTTTAGTTCGAGTTGTATTATCTATGAAAGAATTTTAAAAAACCCGCCATTTGCCAAAAGCCATAATTGTTGTTGTGAATCATATTTACGAGTATATTGTATTTATTTCCTTGCAAATATGATGAAAATCATTGTATGTATCACGGATGGTAAAAAAAACAGAACTCGACTTATTAAAGACCTTATATAATAGTAGTATATTATAATAGACCCTCGTTAGTAATTTCTTACTTACGGTCCTACACAATGTACTATTAAAGATTAGACGACCACGGAGCAGGTTTATAAGGCAAATGTTGTCGTGAAGGGTCAACCTAAAGAAAGCCCAGGTCAAGAGTGGTTTCTGTTTATCTCGATGGGAAAAAGACGTGAAGTGTAAGTATGTATTACAGGCTTGGTAACAGCAATAAGTGTGAACACGTACCATGTCAGCTTCTCTCTGCAGAACCTGTCCCAGCCAGGAGTTGAGTTTGTCGTAGTAGGGCGGGGGCCTGTCCACACCGGGCGGTGCGAATTGGAAAGCGACACACGCGGATGCTTGACTGATTGCATCCTAGTTACCGAAATTTAACTGATTATAAATGTGTTAGGTTGCGGTTTCACCGTTACGTTGTGGATATACCCATGATTCGCATGAAGCATTAAGGCGAAGGGGTACCGAAAATCGCTTAAATATGCTGTTTTTGTGCAAGTTTTTAGGTGATAATGTAGAATGTGGAACTTTGAAAACAGTGCATCATGTAACGTATCTTGAAGTTAACTTGAAGGTCCTAAGATATTGCTTATTGTCATGGGTAATACAAAAACTTTGCAAAAGTAAAGGCGTAAAGCATAGAGGAATTCCCTGTTTCCACGATTTGTTCCACGAACACTATAACTTGGCCTTTTCAACGCAACAGTGAATAGGCATCTTATTCAAGAGCAAGCATCGGCACTTTCCATCAAGCGAGAAGGAGGTCAAACGTACATATACAGTGTTTTTTTGAAATGGGACAGTATAGGTGCATCCGAAACCATAGAAGATACAAGGAAACTGTCTTAGGAACCATTAAGTCTCTTTTTTGTAACAACAATTTTAACAGTCAATTTTTTAGTGAAACTGGTGAGTTATCTATAAAAATTAATAACATTGAAATCTCTAATATTGAAGAATGTTATTTCATTGAGGTAATTAAATAACGTTGTCCTAAACTCTGTAGCATTATTGTAATTTCTTATTTCAATCGGAAGTTTGTTATAGACATCTAGCCATTACAACTACGCTTTCTCTAGCGTCATAGCGTGTATTTGTTTTTCAAGCAAACCAACAGCCACCTTGGTAACGGCCGACATGGTCATGGACTTATAAAAGGTCCGAACGTTGGTTTATTTGAAATATTATTTAAAAATTCAAGTCAGAAGGTAATATTAACGGATACTTACAACTATGTCTACATTTGGCGGTTCATCTCCCCCGGGTCTTTCGCTCTGGAAGGAATGAATGTCAGTTAGTGTTGCCGAGTACCTTTTGTTTATAAATAACTTTTACATGTAATAACTGAGTGGTCTTAATTGAAAAATAATTGAACTGCAATAGAATAAAGCTATAGTAGTATTGACACGTTCTCTGGTTCAAAAGATACGTCCCACTATTGGGCACGGGTCTCCTCTCAGGCGAGAGTTTAGGCCATAGTCCGCGACACTGTATTACATCCGGCATGTTCATGGAGACGCACACAGATGGCTTTCATCATCAGGGCTGCTTCACTCATGATGCGTGTATGCGGCAGCGCTAATGATATCCTAGCCGTTGTTGGCAACAGGCTGGACTGCCCCTAATAACAACAATGGTTGCAACTACACGGGTGTTGGGTAGTGGTCTAGCCGTGGCATTTTTTCTAGCATTAAGACGTTTTGTACTGTACTAACCATAGCACGTAAGATAAATTTATTGTATTCAATAATGATCGTGATTTGAAATAAATAATTATATTTTATTTCATTCAATGCGTGTGGTGGACTTCACCCGTTTTCCGATGGTTGTGAACCTTTTTCGACATGCAGGTTTTTTTTAACCAAAAATGGTAAACTACATATTAATTTTCGCAAATAATATAAATAAATACATAAATAAATCCACGGTTCTTCTTGAGGGGTTAGGTCATACTATTAGACTACCACGGTCTAAATTCAAGGGCGGTAATAAAAGC